CTCCCTTCTTCAACTCTGGTGTTGGTGTTAAATAAGGCTGTAATCTTCTTCCTACTGTTTTCAACATGTTTGTAAATGATATACCTGATTTTTTTAAAATTAACCAGGCATGTGATCCAGTAAAACTTGGTAATACAGATTTGAACAGTTTACTTTATGCGGACGATTTAGTCCTGTTGTCCAAATCGCAAACAGGTTTACAAGAGTGTCTATCAAAACTTGAAATATATACAAAGAAATGGAAGCTCAAAATTAATAGGAGAAAATGCAAAGTTTTACTTTTTGGAACGCCGACCAAAGGCGTGCATATTTAACGTCAGCTTGGTTATACGAAGAAAATCCCCTATAGAACAGGTGGAGCTAGTATTGTTACCTTGGAATTACTCTTCACTTTTCCGGAAATTTCAAACGGGTGATACTGCTGATCAGGTGATACTGCTGATACGAGCTTACAATTTTTTATACAAAAAATTTTCAAATTTTGAAAATTTGCCAATCAAATTGCTTTTAAAACTTTTCTCGACTACAATATTCACATTTTATTAAATAGAAAGATTTCATTTAAAATTTTGTAAACGTATTTTTGGAGTTCACTCAAAAACTACAAATATAGCAATTTATACTGAATTAGGAAGGATACCGTTAATTGCACAAATTTCAGTGCAAATATTAGTCACTAAGAGCGACTAAAGGCTGCACAAGCGTTCTGTCGTTACAGGGCCGTAGGAAGCTCTTTTCGATTGGGGGGGCTGAAAGCGAGGGCCGAAGGCCCGAGGAAATTTTTAAATTTAGAGTCTCTAAAATGCCATTTCCTGGACTTTGGGGGAAGATTTAACAGAATTCTGATAGTCAGAAAACAGCGTTTTAGTATGTCGAAATTTACAGGAAAGTACGGGCCAGACTGTAGTATTATAAATGCGCGGCGGGAATTTTCGTCATAAATGGCAGTTGCGCGGAAATGAAGGCAGAACATTTGAGAAAATTTCGAAAATCTGGAGTCTCTAGATGGTCTGAAATGGCATTTTCAGAGTTTTCTTTCGCAAGACCCAACACGCAAAAGACAAAATAAATCATTAGTTCATCAAAAATGTGCAGATTTTTTGGGATTTTCTTGAAAATGCGCGACAGAAATTCAGCTAAAATTTCTACGCGAGGAACGATCTGGAGTATGAGTAATATCTTCATTCTTTGCAGTTTGTCACAGATTAAATGATAAAGTTTGCATGATTTTGAAAAAAGAATGATTATTAGCAAATTATTGGGGGGGGCTGCAGTCCCCCCAGCCCCCCCGGTTGCTACGGCCCTGCGTTATCGAAAAATGTATGGCTTATAAGTTGTCATTACTCATTAGTGAATGCGCGTATACATGAAACTGTTTTTACAGTTTCAATATTAGTTTGTAAATCTCCGAATGGTAAAACTTGCCAATACTCCAATAATACGTTTCAAAAAAAGACAAAAAAGCTTTAGTTTATCACGAAATTATTTGAATAAACCACATCGCATGTATGGGGGGCGAATGTCCTAAAGAGGGGCGATATTCCTAGGGTATTTGCCCCACCCCCCTGGGAGGCGATATTCCCAGGATATTCGCCCCCGGGGGCGATATTCCTAGGAATATCGCCACGTTTTGAGTGGGGGGGGGGGCGAATTTCCTGGGGGGGCGACCTTTTTAAAAATTATATCTTGCCCCCCCCAAATTTGAGTTTGCCCCTCAAATGCCCCCCCCCCCCAAATTTGGAAGCCTGGCGCCGCCACTGACAAATTTCTTTGCATATCGTTAAATACTGGCTACACATTAAGGATGCAAGTTTCGATAAAACTCTGGCTGACGAAGCTGCTCGAGTGTGTATGGATATAAATCTTGACTTCAACCAGCAATGTTTACGGATTATATATATTTACTGAAAGAGTGTAAAAATGATGTTGGATATGTTAGGTACTTCACAGTCCCTCGTGACACTGGGCTATTCCATTTAATATCCGTACCCCCCCTGTCGAGGATCCCTGGAATTCTTCAGGGGTAAAGGGTTTTGAGCTTGGAATTCTTCAGGGGTAAAGTGTTTTGAGCTTGGAATTCTTCAGGGGTAAAGTGTTTTGAGTTTGGAATTCTTCAGGGGTAAATGGTTTTGAGCTTGGAATTCTTCAGGGGTAAAGGGTTTTGAGCTTGGAATTCTTCAGGGGTAAAGAGGTTTGAGATTGAAATTTTTCAGAGCTTGGAATTCTTCAGGGGTGAAGGGTTTTGAGCTTGGAATTCTTCAGGGGTAAAAGGTTTTGAGCTTGAAATTCTTCAGGGGTAAAGGGTTTTGAGCTTGGAATTCTTTAGGGGTGAAGGGTTTTGAGCTTGGAATTCTTCAGGGGTAAAAGGTTTTGAGCTTGGAATTCTTCAGGGGTAAAGGGTTTTGAGCTTGGAATTTTGGAATTCTTCAGGGGTAAAAGGTTTTGAGCTTGGAATTCTTCAGGGGTAAAGAGTTTTGAGCTTGGAATTTTGGAATTCTTCAGGGGTATACAGTTTTGAGCTTGGAATTCTTCAGGGGTATGACAATGAAAAACATGTATCCTCGACAGGGGGGGTACGGATATTAAATGGAATAGCCCATTTAATGAATACATTTAATGAAGAGTCTAAGCATTATTATAAAAAACAACTGAAAGAAAAGAAACTAAAAGTCTTCAGTAAAATTAAAATGAATTTTGAAATTGAAAAATATCTAATAGAAATCCAAAATGTTAAACACCGCCAAGCTGTTACAAAATTAAGAATTTCTGCGCAAAGATTACCAGTTGAAACTGGCAGATATAAAAGTATTCCTTACTGAATACTGTGATAGAGCGTGCAGACATTGTGATCTGAACGAAGTTGGAGATGAACAACATTATGTAATGTCATGCAGAAATACAATGTTTGCAACTTTAAGACAGGATTTCATAGATGACTTATATATTAAAAAAATCAATAATTTTTTCATATATTTTTCAAGTTAGATGATTTGTTTCATTATGTTATGGCTATGCATGATACAAGCATTATGAGACTGTTTTCTAAATATTGTTATGATATTCTTACAGTTTTTGATGAGATACAGTTATGTAGTTAGATATCATTGTTTATTCCTAGGCTGTATATGTTCAATATTCTTAATATATCATTATTGGTATTTTGATTGGAATAAAGTTATTTATTTAAACCATCCTAAACTGAGCTACAATAATCAAAATATACGGTTGAATTAGTGCTCCATAAATTTTCAGAGCATAAATTTTCGACATGTCATGCCCATCGATTTGCAAGCCTAAGGATTTCGTTTCGTTGACTCTGAAAGACCTTATGTGTTCGTATTCATGTAAACTTCATGTACCAGTAATTGTTGTCGTTACCGAGATTCTATTACCATGAATACGGAATACCGTTTTAGCGACGTTAGGGAGTGGTCATTATTTATAGGGAGGGGGGTTGGTAAATGGGAGGGGGGGACAAACAAAGTTTTACGCTTATAAATACGGGGGGTCAAAAACGTTTTAACCTAGAGGAAGGGGGGGGGGCAAAAAAAGTTTTTGAACTTAAATACCATGTCTAGAGTTCTGATTTCTATAAATAGCATAGACTCACAAATAGCATAGACTCACAATTTACAAATAGCATAGACTCACAAATAATAATGCCAAAGAGGTAAAGAAGACTCTGAATATGCCATTTCCAACAATCTAAAGACTCAAAATTTTCAACATTTCCTTGCTCGGCGCCAATTATGGTAGCGCCTCGTGGGAGCCGGGCCCACTAAGTTTAATTAACAAGCTTCCTACCCCCTGAGTGATCCAGTTGTGGTGTTTACATAAACATACCATGCAAGAAGTACTTAACTGATTAGATTCGGTCTATCAAAGCAGAATGTAACTCTGTATATCCAAAAATCTGTTTCAGAAAATGCTCACATTTCAGTCCTATGGGTGGAAAAATACAAAAAAAGTTTCTGGGGGAGAATACCCCCAGACCCCCCTACTTGTACATAAGATACCACACCAAACTTTTGGTCACCAACAACCATCTGTCATCTCTCCACACTCAGTATAGTATGGTCCTTTTTTGTAGATGCCCACCCCCCAGACAAGGCGTAAAAAAACCCTGTGTTCAAATCATTTCGCTGTATGAAGACAGGCCATTAGTCTCCTACGCATACCTACTTAATTAGCGGCGGGCCCAAACCCGCTAAAGTAGGTCTGCATAGGAGACTAACAGTCCATGGGTTAGGATTATGGTATGAGGACAAATGTTGCATTGCAAAGTAGTAAACACATAATATATATTTTAAATCGCATATGGTTGAATCATATTCACCAGGGTAAAACATCATGGGCTAGATTAAACAGATTGTCCTAATATCTAACTTTACCTGCAACACACACCTGTTTCATTGCTGTTAATTTTTCAATCCACACTGGGGGGGAGGTGTTTCTACATTTATGAGGGGGGGGGGGCACAAAAAGTTTGCTTCAGTCTGGAGGGGGGAAGTTTTCAATCCTTATTTTCCCCATTTCCCACCCCCTATTTTACCCCCCCCCCCTTATTTTCAAAGAGTGACCGAATGAAAATGGCTCTGCGGACGAGAATGGGTCCCCCTGCCCCCCTCTCGCCAACCTTGTTCCCAGGGTATTTGCTCTTTCCTTGCCCTCTCACTGGCCTTGCCTAATATCTGACATATTCCTATCACAATTCCTTAGGGTTTTATTTGAACATGTAAAATCTATTTTTGATAGCTTGATGACCACTATATATTTAAATACGAAAGATATAATTTTTTTTATTGCAGTAAGATTTTTATGTTAGCTATAAATGTGTCTATATATAGATAAACAAGATAAGATACTATTTTGTATGTGGTATTCTGGATACTTATTATTCTTTAACCCATTGAGTTGCATTGCACCCTGATGCACCCTACTTTAGTATTTTACTCTGTCTAACGCCAGAGTATTTTACTCTGTCTAACGCCAGACGATTTTACTCGTCAAGGGGAGAGCGCTGGCGCTTAATGGGTTAATGAAATTTAGAACATGTTTGCATAATATGTGTACACATATTTAAAGCAATTAGCTCCTACATATACTTGCAATATAGTAC